ACCTAGGGTTTAGAGTTAAGGGTTTAGAGTTTAGGGTTTAGGGTGTCGGGTTTCCGGTTTAGGGCTTGGGGTTTATAAGGGTTTAACCCGAGTGCCTTTCTACTCTTAGCCGGAAACGGTAGGGTGGCTTTTCAGGGTCCGGGTTGAGGGGAGTTTATACGACTTTGAGGTCTGGAAGAACAGTAATGATGATCATTGATATAAATATAGACATGATATTTAATATTGGTAATAATGATCGTAACAGTGATCGCGGGCAGTCTTTGGAGGGGGTGAAGAGTCCAGAACTTCGCGGGTGAGTTTACGTCAGGGTTTAGGGTTTTCAGGGGCCCTGAACCCTAAAACCTGACCCTAAACCTTTAAGCCCTAAACCGTGCCTAAACCCCTGAATAAACCCCAAACCCTGAACCCAATCGCCTGGTCTCAGGACGCAGGGTCAGATCCAGTATGCCATCGACGGCAACATTGCTCCCTGCATGTTCGGAGTAATGGTTCACTGTTTGGGGGTTCCCAAACCCACCCCTAAGTTGAATTCCACCAAATCAACAGCCTACTGCCCTGAGCGCTCTCCATTATCAACTTCATCTGGGGTGGAGGGGGGGGGGTGGCTACAAGTTAGGTTCTGTTTCGGGGACCTCACAGACAGCCATCATCACAGGTCAGCACCCTGAACCCCTAAGCCCTAGGCCCTAAACCCTAAACCCTAAACCCTAAACCCTAAACCCTAAACCCTTAACTTCAATCAATCCCCAAAATTGAATCCCCGACCCAAAGGCTTGAACCTTCAACCCCTAAGCGCCGAACGAACCCGAGACCCGAAACCCGAAACCCCAAACCCCAAACCCTAAACCCTAAACCCTAAACCCTAAACCCTAAACCCTAAACCCTAAACCCTAAACCCCAAACCCCAAACCCCAAACCCCAAACCCCAAACCCCAAACCCCAAACCCTAATAAGCTCCAAACCCTAAACCTAAACCCGAAACCCTAAACCCCAAACCCAAAACCCTAAACCCGAAACCCAAAACCCTAAACCGGAAACCCGAAACCCTAACCCCCAAACCCGAAACCCAAAACCCTAAACCCTAAACCTCTAAACCCCTAAACCCTAAACCCTAAACCCCTAAACCCCTAAACCCTAAACCCTAAACCCTAAACCCTAAACCCTAAACCCTAAACCCTAAACCCCTAAACCCTAAACCCTAAACCCCTAAACCCTAAACCCCTAAACCCCTAAACCCCTAAACCCTAAACCCTAAACCCTAAACCCTAAACCCTAAACCCTAAACCTACAAGACCCAGGTGGGATCGTTTTCAGAGTCTCGGCACCGGTTCAAGCTCTCCGAGTCGGCGTTCTTCCTGCCGCCCGCCCTGTTTAGATTCAGAAGAAGTAGCCCCAACACACAAACCCTGCCAAAGTCTATCGAGTAGGTGAACTGTGGGTTTAGGGTTTCGGGTTTAGGGTTTAGGGTTTAGGGTTTGGGGTTAAGCATTTTGGATCGCAAGTCCCGTCACAAAGCCCCACCAGGGTCCCTCAAGGAGTTGCTTAAACTGTGTCATTTCCCAGACCCCTGGGAGGATCCAAAAGTAGATCCCTGTAAGGGTTCCTAAAAATGACGCAATAGCAGCATAAGGTACTATTTGGGGTTCTACTTTTTGGATCCTCCCAGGCGTTTGGGTTCGAGTTTCGGCGGGGAAGTGGATATCGTCCAGCGTTGCACAAATTCAGCTGGAGTGGGAACAAGGCCGCGCGCAGAAGGTCTGGTAAGGCCCTTAAACAAATCGTTTGTCGATCCCGATAAATGTTCGGTTCCTGGCATGCAAGGTTTTGGGGTGCCAGGATGAGGTGGGGTAGGCCGCGACTGACTCTGGTCATCGCCGCGTATAGCTACCCATGAACCTTCAAAACCCTAAGTCCTGAAACCTCATCCACAATCCCGGCCCGGTACCGAGGATTCTCAACACGGCGATCGGGGGTGGCTGGCCGGGGTATCCCGATGTTGTTTGGCGGCATTTTTGGGACTTCGGGTTTGTAGGGCTCAGGTTGAAGGTTGAGGGTTTAGAGGTTTAAGGTTCAGGCAAGAGGGCTGAACCTCACAAAACAAGTCTTCCGCAGCTCAGGTTTCTTGAAACCTACAGCTGCCCTGGGTCTAAGGTTGGGATTACAAAACCTTCAACCTTAAACCCTACGCCCTGTGTAGTGTTCAGGGTTTAGGGTTTACGATTGAGGGTTTAGGGCCTAAACTCTCAGAAAAGCTTCCCTCACCCGCCCTGAAACTTCTGCAAGAAGCTTACTCGGATGCCCAGTAGTACCCTGATTCCCTTTTTGGGGGGTTTAGGTTCCCTTATCAACCCCTTTAAGCCAAAAAGGGCACCCTTTTTAAGCCTTGGTTACTGGGCAGCCAAACCCTAAACCCTAAACCCTAAACCCTAAACCCTAAACCCTAAACCCTAAACCCTAAACCCTAAACCCTAAGGAAAGCAAGACAAAAATGCCAGTG